TACGGGCCCCCTTTCACTTGTATTGAGGGGGTTTTCCCACTTTATGCTATTTAAAAGAGAATAGGAACAACAAGTCGCCTCCAGACGGCTCATTCCTACCTCCAGGCTCCAGTTCCCCCCGTCCCAAAAAGCTTCTTCCCATTCCTAACATCTGTCAATAATAAAATTCCCTCTGATCTCAGCTCGGGGTGAGATTTCAGGAGAAACCCAGGAGTTTAGGGGAAGGCTGCAAACCCAGCCTGGGGGAGAGGAGCACGGAACAGGCTGTGCCTCCATGGACGGGATGGAAATAGGGCAAAAAATAGGGATGGAGGAGCTGCAAGGCCTTCGTGTGGGCTCAGTTTTGGGGCATCTCTTCCTGCAAGGGTTGATTTGGGGCTAATACGGACTAAAGTGGGACATTAAGGGGGTTTTATTAAGCTCTAAAGAGGGGAAGGTGCTGGGCTCTAACACTGTAGAGGTGGGGGTGGGGGGTTAAATAGTCTCTTTTCCACTACCAGCAGTGATTTATAGCACTGCGGCACCATCCTCCTGCCTGTCCTGGGGGGGAAAAGAGGGGTAAGACCCCAACCTCCTCTGGGAGGGATCCAGGGTTCTGTGGGGCTCTGCGGGGCTGCGTGTGCTGTGGCTGAGGTCACGGAGCTACTGAATTCCCAAGGGCTCCAGTGCAGCAGGGATGGAAAACGAAGCGGCTCCGGTTGCAGTTAACCCCTGCGAGGGGCCAAGTCAACCACATCCCGCGGTGCTGCTGGCAGAGCACAGGGATGCTGGAGAGGGACCTTCATCAGCGACTGGAGTCACAGGACAAGGGGTGATGGGTTCAGACTGGAACTGGAGGAGCTTTGAGGTCCCTTCCAACACAGACCAGTCTGGGGTTCTGTGGTGGTCGTGTTATGGCCGTGCCGTGGGTCTGCATCGGGCTCCTGGGGGACTCGGGGTCCCTTCAAACATCCAAGAAACCCTCCTGGTGCCTGCAAAGAGCTCATCGGACTTAATCCCCCCCAGCCGGCCGGGCTGGAGCCACATCTGCCCCCCCCTCGGCGCTGGAAACCTGGTGACTGGTTGCATTTCACACTCAGAATCCTCTGGGTGAGACCCAGGGGCTTATTCTGGTAACTTGAACTTGGGACAGCCCTTGGGAGAGGAGCCCTGTGGCATGTGTGGGCGTCGGGAGGCTCCCGGTGTGCCCATGAGGAGCCTCAAGCGTCTCCACCAAATCCCTTTGGGCTTTGTGTTGAGCCTTGGGAATGCCAAGGAAATGGGATGGAGAGGATGGGGAGGTGTCCCCCATCCTTGGAGGGGTCACAGGGTGTCAGAGCAGCCCTGGGGATGCTCTTGGCTCATCTCATGCCCCAACTACCTGGCATCCTGGTCCCCTCTCCCGGTCCCATGTGTCCCCATCTCCTGGTTGTTCTGGTCCCCTCTTCTTGTCCCACTCATGTTTTGCTCCCACTTATCCCCAGCCAAAAGACTTTTCCTTGTCCCCTGGTCCCACTTGTTCCCTCATCCCACTGGTTCTTTCTCCTGGTCCAACTTGCCTCCACCTTTTGATCCCACTTGTCCTTGTCCCCTGGTTCTCCTGGTCCCTTCTTCTGGTTTCACTTGTCCCCACCTCCTCGTTTTGTTTGTTCCATCTTTTAGCCACATTTTACCCCTCTCATGGTCCCTGTCCCCCCCTCCTGGTCCCACTGGTCCCCTCTCTGGGTCACGCTTGTCCCAGTCTCCTGGTCTCATTTATTTCCCTCTCCTGGCCCTGTTGTCCTGCTGCCATTTGTCCCCTCTCCTCCTGCTCATCCCTGTCTCCCTGTCCCTCTTGTCCCCAACCTGGCCCTACTCTCGGGGGCAGCAGAGGCAGTTTTGGTGCAGAGCTGGTGGGATTCAATGAGGTCTTTTGGGTCCAGAGCCTTTTCCACTGGGAAAGCCCAACACAGCCCCCAAAGCCCCATCACTGGATGCCCTGGCAAGGGGGTAACATGGTTTTGGATCATCTCTGAGCTGAGTCCAAGGAAACTCATCAAAGCAGCTCAGTGCCTTGGATGCTGTTGGGCATCTTCATTGTGGTGGTACCCAGAGTCCCACATGGGACCGAGAGGCTAAAGCCAAAGGAAAGGGGGTAAAAGCAATTGCTCCAGCCCCTAAATCAGGCTCTTTGCCCCAAAGCAAAGCCCCACCTGGTGCAACCTCAGGCTTAGAGCTGGATCTGACACCGAACTGCTCCATTCAGCGTCATCTTGGCCATCCCTGGGCACCGTGGCTCATATGCCCCGTGTCCTGCACCCAGCTGTGGGTGATTTCTGGCTTCTTTTGGGGTTTTTCTGCTTTCTTTTTAATTTCTCCTTCCACAAATAACCTGAAAGTGGAAAATCTGTGAGAAAAAACACTTAAAACAGGTTAAAAATCATCCCATGGAAAGGAAACAGCTTCCACCAAACGATCAGTGGAAAGATGTAGTTGAAAGGGGGGTTTTGAGTGTTCTGTTTAGTTCTTTGTCCCCCTGTGCTGAACCTGGCTTGCTGCAACCCCACCAAACTCTCGTCTATGGTACCTCCTAACCCCTCACCCCAACAACCTGCATCAATCCCACTTCAAAGGTCCCTTCTCTCCCACTTTTTTGGGAGTTGGATGTTGAGGGGCCTCCGTTTCCTGTGGGCAGGGACAATTCCCAGGCAATACATCATGTCTGCTTAGGGGCAGAGTTGATGGCAGGAAGGAGCCAGGGAACCACAGCTCCGGAGAGCTGCAGGAGAGGGGGAAATAGGGAAAATGGGGAAAAAATCCTGCCCTTCTTTTCCATATCCTTTGGGAGGCCTCCAAAATTCCCTTGGTCCCTCCCGGGAGGTCTCAGAATTGTTTCCTCAATGTTTAATTAAAGTGTTTTTGAAGCCCCGTTGTTGAGATGTTATTGAAATGTCTCAACATTCCTAAATTAAAATCCTAAATTCAACATTCCTGAAATAACAGGGAATGGGGAGAATCTGGGAGTGATTCAGCAGCTCTGGTGCAGAAGCAGCTCTGGTCCCCCATAGTGAGTGATGTTCGTGAGCTGTGCACAGCCTCGTGTCCTCAGCATCAGAAGGACCTGGAGCTGCTGGATCAAGTCCAGAGGAGGCCACGAGGATGAGCAGGGGCTGGAGCAGCTCCTGTATGGAGACAGGCTGAGAACATTGGGGCTGTTCAGCCTGGAGAAGAGAAGCTCCTGGAGACCTCAGAGCAGCTTCCAGTGTCTGAAGGGGGCTACAAGGATGCTGGAGAGGGACCTTCATCAGGGACTGGAGTGACAGGACAAGGGGTGATGGGGTCAAACTGAAACAGGGGAAGTTCAGGTTGGAGATAAGGCAGAAGCTCTTCCCTGTGAGGGTGCTGAGGCGCTGGCACAGGGTGCCCAGAGAAGCTGTGGCTGCCCCATCCCTGGCAGTGTTCAAGGCCAGGTTGGACACAGGGGCTTGGAGCAACCTGCTCTAGTGGAAGATGTCCCTGCCCGTGGCAGGGGTTGGAGCTGGAGGAGCTTTAAGGTCCTTTCCAACCCAAACCATTCCATGGTTAAATAAAACCAGCTCAGGACAAGTGGCATGAAGGAAACGCTCCATCAATTAAACAACCCCAGAATAGAAAGAGAAAAGGTCAAAGCTAAAAATAGCAGGTTTGGGTTTGTTCTGAAATGCGGCGTTAATAAAGAATCACGTATTGGGAAGGTCTATTTTTAGGGACTCGGGTTCAATAACCTGGTGTGACCCCTTGGTCTCGGTTTAACTGGGTTTGGGGCCCTTTCTGCTGGCTTTGCCCTATTCTTGTCCCCTATAGAGCTGCAGGTAGTTGGGTGTTTGAGCAAGAGGCCAGCATGTGGTGAAGGCTCTGGGT